TGATATTCTTGAAGACATTCTTGATGATATTCTTGAAGACTTTCTTAAAGACATTCTTGATGACATTCTTGATGGCATTCTTGATGAAATTCTTGAAGACATTCTTGAAGACATTCTTTTAGACATTCTTGATGATATTCTTGATGGCATTCTTGATGGCATTCTTGATGGCATTCTTGATGATATTCTTGAAGACATTCTTGAAGATATTCTTGATGGCATTCTTAAAGACATTCTTGAAGACATTCGTGGTACCAACTTGGCGTGCTTTCTTTTGCGGCTCGGCTCGGCGTCCAGTCTCCGGCCTACGTTCAAGTCCTTCAACTCCAAGACCACGTTTACGGTGGCTTGGCCTCGGCCATTGCCATGTTCATCTGCGACGGGATCTCTGCAACCTCAGCCATTGTCTTCTTGGTGCTTTTGATCATGATGACCCACTCCTCAACGCCGCCGCTGAATCTCGGCGATATTCTGCAGCTCCTAATCTACCACCAAGTACGCCAGTACTTGCCCCGTCTCAAATGGCAGATGAGTGTCAAGTACTGGGGACCCCAGACACGATGACCCACAAACCTCGTGGAACCTCATATGCTTCTGCAACCACCTCAAAAAGGGCAGGCTTTACATCTGGGGGCTCGGGGTCCTATTGGATGACTACAGCAGATCAGATGGAGTGTCCTAGGAGTTCAGCATCAGCCCGTTCAAGGAGATCGGGAAGCAAAAACACGCATGGTTGAAATTGAGAGAACTGGCGAAAATCAAGGAAAATGCATTTGTACAGATTGGTCTGTCGTTGCCTCGGGGAGTGCGTGATGTATTCCTTGGCTCTGGCTTGGGGGGCATGAAGCCAAACATCACTGTGATTGGCTCTTACGATTTCCATGAACAAAGAGGGGAGCTTCCATTGAAACAGTCACACCTCCAGCAGCCCACTGATGATTGTAGAGAAAAAAAAGGTCTCGATCAACCAATGGGTGCAGATTGTCAAAGACTTGGTCATTATGCAAGCAACAGTGGCTGTGGCTACGAAATTCAGGGACAGCTCCCGGTTGTCGAGAAACTGTGGATCAAGCGTAAAACGAAATTGGGCAAAAAGCCCAAAACGTACATCGACTTGTACCCGATCCAGATGTGTACTATCTGCTTGTTCAAAGACGGAAATCGGTGATGTCCACGAATTTCGACACATACACCTTGATTTTGCAGCTGGGTCTGATTCTTTTAGTAGTTGACGAATGGGAAAACAGTGCTCACGTGCCGAGACTCATTGCCTTTGTTAAAACAACTGCAGAACAAGAAGACGAGCGACAGAGACTGGGAACCTTGCTCGAGAGTCTTTGAATCCACGCCCAGGTGAAGATTGTGTGTTTTGACATTCAAATCCTTACATTTATATTGCCACTTCCGTTGTATTTCCACTTTCATTCAAACTTTCACTCACATTCAAATTTCACTTTCATTCTTATTTCCACTCTCAACCATGTTTCCACTTCACATTTCCACTTCATTCATATTGTCACTCAGATTCATATTTCCGCTTACCTTCTTAATCTTGCATTCATATTCTTGAAAAATCCGCTTTCTTTCATATCTTACATTCGTATTTCCGCTTTCATTTGCATTCGCTTTGATTAACTCACATTCATATTGTTTCATTTGTATTTTTACATTCAAATTCTTCCACTTTCATTCAAATTTTAACACACTCAAATTTCCACTTTCGTTCTTATTTCCACTTCCACTTATGTTTCCACTCCATATTTCCACTTCATTCATATTGCCACTCAGATTCCTCTCAGCTCTCATTCATGTTTCCACTTCATATTTCCACTTCATTCATATTGCCACTCAGATTCCTCTCAGCTCTCATTCATGTTTCCACTTCATATCACCACCTTCATTATATTCTTGCATTCGTATTTCCACTTCTGGTCTCCAAGCAATCATCCAGTCGCTCCATATTCCCCCTGGCATTCATACTCCAAGTCATTTCTAAAAGCCTTTTCCAGTCATTTCTCTTCCCCCAGTCAATTTATCTCTAGCCCGCTTCATATGTCCAGTCTATTAATCCTTCAGCCATACTAATGTTTCCAGGGTCCCTCCGATTGGATTCATATAAACCTCACCAGCCAGCTCATTTTCCCCTGTCCTCCAATCAGATTCATACATACGTTACCAGCCATTCTCCAGTGAAATAATTCCCCAGTCCGTTCGTTTTCCACTCAGCCAGCTCTCCAGTCACATCATTCGCCTTAAATCACATTCACCTTAAATCACATTCACCTTAAATCACACTCGCCTTAAATCACACTCGCTTTAAATCACATTCACCTTAAATCACATTCACCTTAAACCACATTCACCTTAAATCACATTCACCTTAAACCACATTCACCTTAAACCACATTCACCTTAAATCACATTCACCTTAAATCACATTCACCTTAAACCACATTCACCTTAAATCACATTCACCTTAAACCACATTCACCTTAAACCACATTCACCTTAAATCACACTCGCCTTAAATCACATTCACCTTAAATCACATTCACCTTAAATCACATTCACCTTAAATCACATTCACCTTAAACCACATTCACCTTAAATCACATTCACCTTAAACCACACTCGCCCAAAACCACACTCCCCTAAAACCACATTCCCCTCCACCCTCGCACACCTCATTCACACACCGCATCCTTCACAGCACTATGCGGTCGTGCCTCCAGCTGCCGTGCGTCGCCCGGGGCAAAGCCTCCTCGGGAATCCGCTCCACGTCCCACGTGCTCCACTCCTCAAAGACCCGTGCCAACGGCTCCGCATACCACCGGTTGAACCGGATATCAAACCACCCCAAATGCCCCCCGACGGACGTCACCACCATGTGCGTGTACGGGTTGAGAGACACCTCCGAAACAGGCACGGTCTTGCCCCCCACGATCGGGTCGTCCGCAGAGCTCACTATGAGTGTGGGCACCCGCACGTTCAAAAGCCGCTGGTCCGGCGACGCGTGCCGGTAGTACTCCTGCGCCGAGTTGAAGCCGAACAACTGCGACGTGAACGCGTCGTCAAAGTCCCGCAAGTTCTGGAGCCGGAACGCCTCGGGCTCTCGCTTGTACTTGGCAATGATGTCCTCTAGGTGCAAGGAGTCGTCGTAGTGCTGGTCGAGGAGCCGGAGCAAGTTCTGGCACATTTTGGGCGAGTAGATCTTGCTGCCCAAGAAATTGTCCACCAAAGCCGCCGAGGCTTGCGGGAAGTCCCACGGCGAGCCCATGACCGCAGCGCCCTTCAAGTTCTCGTAGGCGTCCGGGCCCTCCTGGCCCAAGTAGTTGGCAATGATCGCGCCCCCTAGAGAGAAGCCAATCAAAAAGATCTTTTTCTGCGGCCACTTCCTGCGGATGTGCTCGTTGATGAGGTACCGCAAATCGTTGGTCCACAAGCCGCAGAAAAGCTGCGGCGACGTGATGGTGTGGTTGGCGCATCCCCTTGCGTTCAAGACCAAGCCATCGAAGCCGTGCCCGCCGGTCACCCGCACCATGAAGGCTCGAAGATACGACTCGAACGAGCCCCCGGCAAGGCCATGCAAGGCCACCACCAAAGGCTTCTCGTTGTCGAGAAGGGCTTGCTCGTGCGCCGGATTCATGAACTCGGTGCGCGGCGGGAGTTCGTACTTCTGGCTGGCCGGCCGAAACTGCTCGTGGCCCGCGTCGCAGGCCTCGTCGCCAACCACATAGTCTACCGCGATTGTCGACTGTCCTTCCCATCGGTCGTACGGCATCTTATCGCCCTTCACCTCGTAAAACCGCTTGTCCGATTCAACCTGATATACCATGCGTTTGTAATGGACTTTGTCGATGTTTTCGAACTTGTTCAACGCCGTGTAGGCGGTTTGAGAGTGGCCGCTCGAGAGAAGCGGGTTCACGTAGAAGGAATAGCCAGGGCTTAACTCCGGCGCCACCCCGGCGATGATCTCTTCCAATGTCTTGGTGGTTTGACCCTTGTGGTACGTGGCGGGCTGCTTGGGCCCCACGCTGCTCACCTTCGACTTGAAAAAACCAGACATGGCTGAAGATTCCGCAGTACTGAAAGTCTGCCATTGGGGTTTCTCGATAAGTAGGCTACTCAACGCTCGGCCCTCGGCTGCGCAGACGCACGTGCGCGACACGCGCAAAGAAGATCTGGAGACGCAAAACGTGCTATGTGAGACTTGCCGGCCACGACATTTCTGGTGGAAAGCCGGAGGTTTCTTGCAGAATCTGGTACGGTCAAAATTGGCTGGGCTACTTCTTGTCGTTCCTGGGTCAAAGTACACGCGTCATTCTAAAACGATCATGGACGTTCATGGAGTACATCAAGCTGACCGGCGTGATTGCCCGGCGCTGTTCGCCAAGTAGGTCCGATCTGATCAAGCGTATGACCGATATTAAGTTTAGAGCCCGGGAAGCTTTACGTAACTAGATAGCAAAAAGGACACAATCCGCAAAAATATGTACTGGTTTTTACTAGCCACGCCAGAGTCCACAGCGTGGCCTACTTCTTAAAGCACTTGTCGTAGCCAACCATCGTGAACCGGAACTTGACGTCTCCATCCTCGGTTCTCTTCCAGGTCTTACCCAAGTTATCCTCGGAGATATCGACGGTCTCCACCCATGGCTTGATCTTATGCTCCGCAGCAAATTCAAGCATGTATTGAATCTCATCAACGGGCCCAATGGCAGATCCTTGCACCGACAAATTGTTGAAAAGCATCGTCATAGGTGGGAGGGTGAGACTCTCGTCGGCTGGTGGGGCAGTAATGAAAATCATCTTGCCTCTTGGCCTGATCATGGACAACGTCTTGTCAAAAGAAGCGCCCTTGAACGAGCTGCTCGTATTCACCAAAAGATCAATGGTGTCACTGAATTTCTCGACAAAATCATCATCTTCAGTAGCACAGAAGTGGTCAGCGCCGAGCTCTTTGGCGAGTTTTTCCTTGGAGTGGGAACGCGAGATGGCGTAAACCTCGGCGCCCATGGCCTTGGCGAATAGAATGGTCATGTGGCCAATACCGCCAATTCCAGATATGCCGACCTTTGTGCCCTTGCCGACCTTGGCTTGCAAAAGAGGCGAGAAGCCCGTGATGCCGCCGCAGAGAAGAGGGGCAACATACTCGGTTTCCAAGGAGTCTGGGATCTTGAATGCGAACTTCGAGTTGACCCTGATGTGAGAAGCATTGCCACCGATAGTGTTGACTCCAGATTCCGGGTACGTGCCGAAGTAAGTCCCAACGGACTTTCTGCAGTTGCTGTCCAAGTTCTGTTCACACGCAACACATGTGCCGTCGCTGTCACATTGCGCACCAATGCCAACACGGTCGCCCAACTTCAATCCCTCTTTGGCGTTTGGCCCGATTTTGACGATTTTGCCAACGATCTCATGACCAACGGCTACGGGCGCATATGGGCGGCCCCAGTTTCCACTAGCAGCATGAATGTCAGACCCACAAACGCCGCATGCGATGATCTCCACGTCGACGTCGTAGTCCCTGAATTCTTGGGGCTTGTACTCGAATCTCTTGGGGTTCAACCAGTCATCGTAGTCGAGCACCCCGATGGCCTCAAAAGTTTCTGGATACATTTCTATAAGGCCGATGTGTAAATGCTTTGTGTGACAGAAGCTGCGAGCGGGGGGATAAGGGGTCAAATAAAAGCACACCCCGCCAATTAAGCCACCATCGCCAGACTTGCCCGCGCCACCGACTCGGCGATATTTCCGGGATACACACTGATTGCTGAATTTGTAAGCAGCATGCAGGTGGCGGCCGAGCAGCATGCTGCTAGGAAAATCAGCCCCCCTCCCAGCATGTCGCGATTTTCGAAAAGCTTCATTGGAAGCTGAGGCATCGTTTATCTGGCTCTTCTTTCACCTCTAAGACATTCCCTGTTTCTGGCAGTCGCTGGATCCCATAACAAATTTGACAGTCTTATGTTCGCGCGTCCGCATTTCATCAATTCCGGCAAAATGCAAGAAGCCGGTCTCACCGATCTGGCCAAACAAGTACAGAATCTTCGCGGACTTTGCCAAAAGCTGCTCGCCTTCTGCGGGCTTTTTTCTCAATTCAATTAAGCCGAGTTTCTAACCGCACACCATCCTCGGCAGTACTTGCAATCGCCAGCACTGGCCATGCGAAGATTAGATAGGAGACGACTTCGCTCGACATAAACTAGAAGTAAGGGCAGGTACTTCGGGCATCAAGTGAACGAGTGTGGCCCAAAGAAAAACAGTTCACTCAATCGGTAATTAAACAGACAATTTCAGTTGTTTGTAAAGCTGCTATTCGCCGCTAGTCAGGGGATTATTTGCCGCTGCTGTAGATGCGTGCAACAGCTAGCGAATCGTTTGTTTAATATCAGCGCGGCCCGTCTATAGTCTTTTCTCCCGCAATTCCCCAGACATTTGTGTCAAGACATTCCGATTGGAAAGATAGCGAACGGTGGTTTGAGCGTGATCCTATGAAATATTCTCGAAACACCCATCGTAGCTGCTATATGAGATTGCGTAAGCTGTCAAATAGGATGGGAATATCACATTGTGAAGAAGATATGCGTGCACTGCTCAAGAGAGGGCCAATCACGCATAATCACGTGCCGCATTATGTGAATTGGTTTACAAACACGAGACTTCTGCGCGTCACCGAAACTCAAAACTCCCAGCCCCTGGCCACAATAACAGGTAGCTGAGCGCAGGTTTCGTGAAACTGAATCAGTTTCAAGTGCATGATTGGGGGAAACCTTAAAAAATCGCCATACCTTACCTTCCATGCGGCTATCAATAATTTGGGGATAAGGCTTTTTTTTTGTTTTTCACAGCGTTACAATTTCTCAAGGAGGAGTCCATCAACTGAAAGTCAAAAGAAGTGAAGAAACAGAATTGACCTGGGGGAAAGTCTTACGACACATGCCGAGAATGACCAGCGTTACTCTTTGACTGCAGTATTTTTTGGACAGCTGTCGCTTTGTTTGTTTCTTTCTATTTTTGTTCTGTGTTACCCAATTTTTTCTGTTTTGATTCTTCCGCTCATTTATGAACCAGAGAAAACAGGTGAAATTTTTATAGCGTTTTTGGGCTCTGCCGCCGTCATAACCTCAAGGGTCGCGAAATTAGAAAAGAATTGAAAAAAGAAACGACGAGCAAAAACTGCAGGAGGGGGTCGCGGTGAGATTTTACAACAAAGTAAATGGCTGCAAAAAAATATTAGCATGCGGAGTGGTATAAATATTCCGTCGCCCCCATATTCTGCCCTTCCTCGAATACTTCTTTTTCTTCATCCGATATCCTGAAAAGAAATGTTTATGTTCATTGTGATACTCGCACGCATTCTTGAGTTTGCCCCTGTGTTGGCTGCAAGCTCTAGCACCACTACCATGAGATATTATCAACCACTATCTATATATGAAAGTGTTTCAAGTGGGGGAGGTATATACAATTTCTGGAATATCACTAGAAATGAAACTACATTTGCTTCCAGACCACAGGACCAGGATTTGACTCTCACCCGCGATACCGCACTCACGTCTTCAAGCACGGGGACCCCTGGTACCGCTATGACTTCTTCTGATACTGAATCAAAAGATCAAACTGCTACTTCGACTGTGAGCGAGACTAAAACCACCACCACTGCCTCAGATTCTGACGTGAGCCGGGCGACAACCCTGACTCTGTTCTCAGAATCCTCTTCGATATCTGACGGGAATCAAAACACTCCCCCCGATTCGGGGATTCTGGATCGCGACTTGACTAGGCCCACCGGTAGCACTGAAACCACCACCACTGCCTCAGATTCTGACGTGAGCCGGGCGACAACCCTGACTCTGTTCTCAGAATCCTCTTCGATATCTGACGGGAATCAAAACACTCCCCCCGATTCGGGGATTCTGGATCGCGACTTGACTAGGCCCACCGGTAGCACTGAAACCACCACCACTGCCTCAGATT